TCTATCTTTATCTTTATTTATTTAGATTTTAAAAAGTACTTTATTTTTGTAGGCAAATTCCTTGTATGTGTTAAAAACGTACTTGGCAATAAACCAGATTCTGATTCTGATATATACCTACCTGATATATATGTAGATATACACACATACATTCCAAACACCCTGTGCTACCAACAAAACAAAACACTGGCAACAGTAACAGGAATGTACACAGTTGGGAGAACTCTAATGTAATCTCTGAATATCCCAAAGCGAAGTAACTTCTGCTATTATCTTATTATATTGTATCTTACTGTGAACAACAGCTTGACAGGGAGATTTAAATAATCAACTGTTTAGAGCACACTCTACTCTAATTTTCCTTAAAGTAAAAAAAAAGAAAAGCTTTTTGAGACAAATATATAATATTGTTATGCAGGAGCCTTGAGGAAACATCAGAGATCTTCAAATGCAAATTATGGCAATGGAAACCGGTTAAGCATTTAGTATGTCAAGTGTAGCGCAACACTTAAATGTGCTACACAACTGTACAACTATTGTTTTGTTGTTTTTTTAAACAATAATCACATTCTTTAAGACATATATTTGTGTTACATAAGATATGTTTCATATGTTTTCATGGGCTACATTTACATAATATCACAACTACTAATAGATGCAGACTATAATACAGAAAAAGTATCCAGCTACATCACCTTGTCTAAAATATAACAACAGGATAACAAATGTTGAAGGTACGGCTCCCTTAATGTTTTACATTTCATCATCCTTTTTTTTTTTCCTTTTTTTTCCCTCTAAGGAAGTGAGTGAAAATAGATTACTGCTGCTGAGAAAGAATGATTTCATATTTCACCATCTGAAAAGGTCCATCATTCTTTAGTTTCTGATATTTCAGACAATATAATTCCACTGTCTTAACTGTATTATGCATCGAGCCATCACTGTGGTTTTGACACTATAGTTTCCTTTTGTTGAGGGTAACTTTCTTTCGAATAGAGGATCGCTATCTGATTACCATCAAAGCTCAAGGTAAAAAAATAAAACTTACCCACAGTAGGAAGACACACAGCAGCACATGGTGTGAGAAGATTATGAGAGATAAAGGCTTCATCGTTGTTTTGGTTTATTAAGCTACACACATAGTATGACCTTGTTTCCTTTGTTGTCCTCCAGATAAACTTCAAGTTTCTATTTGCAGTACTGCCGCTGATGTGTTGACAAAGACAACAACACTTTAGGCTGACAAGGAATTTCTCTGTGCCTGGGCTGACACAGTCCAATATTAACTTTAATCCACTGGTGTTGACTTTTAATTCTTAACCATGTCCTCCTTCTGGTCCTGTCTGATATTTGCAAGTGACTAAGTAAGTAGCTGCTTCTCCTTTTTGGCCTTGTAACCAAAGAGACCTTTGCCCCGCCTGTTACTTCCTTATTAACGGTCAAAGTGTCTGTTTTACATATTTATTAGTGGTGATTGCTTTATATCTGCTGTATGCTTATCATTACCAGTTTTATGTTTGGGACTACCTGTGTACCTTTATGAGTACAAATATGTGTTTTGAACTATTCTAAAACTAATGTTTTAGCATATGATTTAAGTTAAAATCACAGTCTAGTATCTTCAGTTGGGCTATTTTCACAGAAGAGTAGATTTGCATTTGCTTTCTTCGCACTGTCTCGGGAGGCAGAGATATTTATAGCTTCCATGTGGTTGACATCTACTGTAACAGGAACTTCTCATCACTAACACACATATAGCAGAACATTGTACTGTTTATGGTCTCATATCATGGTACAGCACCCCATAAAAGTGTTGTTTTATCAAAGAAAATGTTGTCCAATGTTGTCCAATGGGGAAACATGAGGAGGAAGTTAGCTATCATAATTATAATGCTTTTCCCCAATCCTTGAATATAAAATGATGTCATACTAAAACAGAACTATAATGAGCATCCGTATTAGATACTGAGCATAACTAGTGCTTGTTTTAAAAACATATTCAGTCAACATTCATGCAAACCTGCTGTATTTTATTATATTTGGCCAGTGTCTGCATGATAATTTGCATTTACATTTTAAGACATGCACTCTGAAGTTATCAAGAAGTGAAATGCATATCCAACATGGTGCTCATGTTTTTCGAGTCTTAATTCATACAAACCTTAAAATTCATCACATTTCCACTGACATTGGTTACAAATGTTACAGTTTTGAATGTCAAAATATGTTTAAAACCCGTAGCTCCCGGGCGCCTGGTTAGCTAGTCCTGCAGCGGCCCAGGGTTCGACTCCGACCTGCGGCCCTTTGCTGCGTGACAGCTGTCTGTCTTCAGCTGTCACTATCATAAAGGCAATAAAAATGAAAAAATCAGATTACGTGTGATTTGTGCCGTCGTCAAATATGAGCAAAAAAAAACAGATTTAGGCCACTTCTGCCTGCAGTGTGAACGTAGCCTCAAGCGGGAATGGGTAGCAATGAAACACCTGCAACAGCATTACACATGTCAAGTAAAGAATATCGCATTCAATGGGAGCATTTTTGACGAACGGCATCCGTTCAGCTGTATCTTATTTTTTCAAAGTGGAGGAAGAAGCTGTCATAGAGAAGTGGAATGCCACCAGTCACAGAGAGAGTCAGGGTTTAATAAGAGATCTAGAAGGAAAATAATTTTGTACATCCACAGAGTGCAATCACAAGTAGTTAGGTTGTTAGTTGTATGTGGCTCGACCTGGTATGGGTGATCAAAATATATAGAATACTCATCATCAGTGAGTCTGAGTTGTTCTTTTTTTGTTGTATTTAGATGTGTAAACAGGATTGTAGACACTCAGAATACTGTTTAAATTGTGGTAGATATCCCTTGTTTAAATGTGTCAGTGAAGAAACTTTTGTCTTCAGATCCGGCATACGTTTCCTGAGATACGTATGTTTTTTTGTTCTTTCTCTTTTTCTTATCAATTTTCACGTATAGCCAAGTGAAAAAAAGAGAACACTCTGGCTGAGTCACACACATGTTGAATGTTTTTTTCTGGTCTCATTGGCAAGAAAGACCAGTGAAGAGTCAGACAAGGAGGGCAGCAGAGGGAGACATAAAGAAAATGCAGACAGAATCAGCATCTGTATTTAATGTTTGAATATAAGCATTCACTTAATGGCTGTCTCCGATGAAATCATCTGTCCTACTTTTTGACACCGATGTGTCGTTGTTTGGGGAGACGGATAAGGACTCAGGGCCTACACACAGGAGGAGGGTTGTTATTCAATGTAGGGCAGAGTGTGTTTGTGTCTGACATGCCAAACTATAAAACACAAATATGAATGTCTTTTCTCACTGAAACTTCCCTGAAAGTCCACGTCATTTTGGGAGTCGGGGGGAGACAAATGAAAAAACGCTGATGGTTTTGGAAAGTATCAGCAAGTCAGAGTTTTTGTTGAAAAACAAGTATCAAAAAATATCCAGCGCAACTCTCAAAGGAAAATGCTAAAACATTTGTCTGTACTTTTTAAACTGCAAGATTCAGCTGCCAGAAAAAAGCATTTTAATCACCTGGGAAAGGGTTTTCATCCTTGTTTTGCCACCAAGCTTGTAGGCAACATGACAACACATCAGCACATTCTTAATGCAGTGCAGCTCCACTGCCTTTGATACAGATAATGTTTTAGTGATCTTCTTTCTAGAGCCAGAAAGTGACAAGAAAGTTGCTTTCATACAAAACAGTCTCTGGAATCATAGGCCATAGTAGATTTTTTTGTGGTGTAAATTGAACCATATTAAACAAGTTACGTATGTTACTGTAACCTGCTCAGCCAAGAATCCCAAGGACCTGCATCATTTTGCATTCCCAATGAGGAATTAGTGTGTCATTTATGTAGTAAGACATAAAGTAACAGTGTGGGGTGGTGCAAGGGCTTACAGCATGTTTGACTTTCATGCTGAATATGGAAGTTTGCGTCCCAACCATGGCCACAATCTTTCCCAGAACTAATAGCTAATAGCTGTGGTTGCCGTGCATGAATATATTCAAGATTATTTTAAAAGGGCTGCCACTGAATGTTAAGGAACTGGACATAAGGTCATTTGCACAGTTTTTAAATATCAATATAGCATATATCTGTCGTGTTGTGGCAATTTATTCATTAATTCATTCATGGGAAAATATACCTAACTATTAATACATCCTTAAGTCAGAAAAAAATATATATTTAGACTTGAAAACAAAGTCAAAGACAGTAAACAAAAACTAAATCTCTGTGTAAACTATTTAACCTGCTATGTTAGGTCTTATGAAGCCTTTATTTCTGAAGTGGGGGGTATAGAATATTATGAGGGAGCAGTTGGTAGAAAGGAGGTGTTTTACTTCCACAGTTGTGGCTTGTGGCTCCAGAGGCTCTTCAGTCCTCTTGACTGTGCGTCACTCTCCATCAGCGCTGATCCCATCGTGCAGCTTAGAGCTCATAAATGGCCTGGAAATGATGGAGCGCTGCAGCTGGTTTGGCAGCATCAGCTGATTAGCATTCATATCCACTCTTGCTCTTTTGCTGCCTCTCTCGCTCTCTCTCTCT